AATCTTCCTTCATCTCATTATTCACAAGAACTGCTCCACATGTCACTGGGTTAATAACGTCTGGGCCTAGCATGTCAATTACGAGGATGGCGTGTTCTAGAATACTCGTGCTTTAAGTACCGTCGTTGTGATGTTACGGCGAACCTCATATCCTGCCACGGAACGAGAATGGTATCAGTACTCGTGAGGCACTTTGTCATGTACTATTTCGCGTCGACCTTACATTCGTTCGGTACATAGAATGGCGCTCTTTTCTTCGTCTAAATGGGTTGATCCAAGCTAAATTTCAGTCCACTTCATACGCCCATTGCTGCGTGCCATAACTCGTGGTAAACCCTTTACTGATGCTATACCTGATAAGGGTCTTAGGAGATCCGGAGAAAAGCCCACGAGCTTACGGACATTAAGAAGGGAGACTTTGGCCTTCTCCATCACACCCAGGGTCGCCTTGTCTAGAAGAATATCGGTCCTTTCTATACGTTACATGCTTAGTAGGAGGAAAGCCTTAGGAAGGAATGAGGTACATATAATATACGGTCATCAAAAACTACCGGGACGGTAAGGTACTCTATCTAGCTGAAGTATGGAGGGGAACTCGTACAGCCGTATCCGTACGTTACGCAGTTTTGCCAGGAAATCCCTTTAGTTTTTGCCCGGATGATGTTCTGGGCGTCGCCTCTTGGCTAGCTACCTATATCACGGCCGCAACGAGCTCTGTCCGCATTACCTTTCCCCGTCTGGAGCCCTTTCAAAGCGAGAACTTCTCCTCCCCTTCGCCGCACGCCCATCGCTCCGGTCCTCTCTCATTCACAATAAGATCGAAACGTCGCCCGCCACGTTGGCAACAGTGTCCCATCCTGCAACGATCGTATACGTACCGACTAGCACCTCATAAACTTTTACATTTCTCACATCGTATTCGAAGACGAACGTATATACAGCAAAATACGACAGACGACCAAGGACGAGCAAAAGCCTAGCTGAACAAAGGACATTCACACATACTAGCAGCCCATGCCTCGCAACTATGCCTTATGCAGTAGATGGCAAACGGAGCAGACTGACTGGAGACCATTGAGGAGCACAATGACATCGATTACCGCAGTCAGACTTATATTACAGACTGACCAAAGGATGTTTGTCAACAATGCGAATGCTTGCTGTACATAATGGAAGAGTGCAACAGAAGGCAGAACGTGTTTGAACTTGATGATTAAAATTATGATATGGTCTGATACACCTGTATCTACACTCGGGTGATCCAATGATCCGCTTCCATCCCAAATATGGTTTATCGTAACTGAGTATATATACAGCCCCGGGGGAGGTACTCCTGACAGAAGACCTCGGGGCGAGTGGGGAGGGGAAATTTATCCCCTTTTTGTTTTTTACTTTTCGTTGGCTCATCACTCATTCTGCCAACGTTCTCTTTGCTCATGTCTAATAACTCTGATGATGATCTTGACTTCATGTATAGGCGTCTCCTCAGTTCAGCTCACGCCACATGACGGGCAAGAACACGACACTCGCTCTCCAGAGAATGAGGATGCCGTCAATGAGCGCCAGCGGCGCCTTCAAGAAACCGAAAACGCTACCGCTCATGAGGTTGAGAGCGTTGAGCCAGATGGCTAGGAAGGCGACGCTGAAGAAGTGGTACGCGAGCTTGCCAGGCTGGTGCATGAGGCCGCCCATGAGGGCCATGGGCTCAGAGGCGTGGCCGCGCTGGAAGTAAGAGAAGCATCCCATCTGCAGAGCGCGCAGCTGGCGGTCGTTTGCGGCAAACAGGGCGTACAGTGCCATGGCCAACACGTTGATGATGGACGTGAGGCTCTTACGGCGCCAGTGGAACTCGCGCAGGACTCCCTTCAAAGCCACGGGGTCGGCAAGGTCGCTCACGCGCGAGGGATGGAGCAGGTCGGAGAGGATGACGCAGTCGTTGAAGGCAACGGTCATGCCACCGCCAGTGAGGGGGTGACGCATGTTGAGGGCGTCTCCGAGGAGGAGCATGCCATTCGCCGTCTGGCGGGATGGAGGAAGATAGGAGTTGGGCATTGATCGGGGGATCTTGCCGTCGGCGAGAGCAGCCTCGAAGCATGGCCGCATCTGGGCGGGCAATGTGGGCATGACGACGTTCTTGATGTAGCCACGGACACCGCCAACAGCGGGCGAGGCCTCGGGAATGTTGGCGGGCACGTCGATGAGCGCGCGGGTCTCGTGGGTGCCAATCTGGTACAGGAGGACGGGGAAGGCGTTGCCGATGCAGACGTGGCCGTAGCCGGGAGAGAGCATGGGGGCGTCGATGAGCTCGAGGGCGTAGAACTTTGACTTGACGACGGGTTCTTGCGGCAGATACTCCTTGCGGAACTTGGAGGCGTAACCGTCGGCAATGATGGTCAGCTGGCCAAAGAAGTAGTCGTCCTTCTTCTGGCCTGTGGCGTCTGTTGTCTTGGATCTTACACCAAGCACCGTATCCTTATCGTCGCCTTGTATCGTGGCCGTCACCTCGGTCTCGACAACGGTAATGTTCTCCTGTCTCATGCATGCCTTGCGCAGGTTGTTGATGAAGCGACCGTGGTGGAAGCATCTGCCCTCCTTCTGCTTCGCGCTTGCGGATACGGCCTCGCTCTCCGAGGCATGGATCATGCGACCACTCTCGTCAAAGGAAGGGTAGGGGATGTCGATTCCGTCTCCGTGAAAGCTGACTTTGTAGCCGTAGCAGGGAATTGCGTCAATGCCCTCGAGGCAGTCGGCCAGGCCCAGCTGACGCAGGGCGACGATGCCGCCGGGCTGCAGCAGCTCGCCGACAATGCGATCGGGCTCCTTCATCCATCTCTCGAGTAGGAGTACACTTCTTCCCTGCTGGCCCAGTGCATATGCAATGGCGCACCCAAAGACGCCGGCGCCGACGACAACTACATCGGCCTCGTGGTACTTGGTGCGGCGCTCGGCGCGGGCGTCGGCCGCTGCTGTTGGACTTTCGATCATTTCAATTCGACTCTCAGGGGGTAGTGAAACTGGCTGGGCTTTAGTTGCTGTTGAAGCGTATGGTGGCGGGGGAGATCGTGGTGTTGCCGATTGTCGTGATGGGCCTGTGCGAAAGGACGCTTTGGTAGGAAAGGCAGCAAAAAGGGATGTTGAATGTCACCTTTGAGAGGAGCCTCGGATTCGGTCGTTGGGAGTTGCGCTTGGAAACGTTGGGGGAAGCGTTTGGCTTTGGATGATGGGAAGAACGGGAGGGGAGGGGAAAGAGAAAGTGAGACTGGTTGCCGCTATCGGGTTTTATGTAAGACCAGGCGAGATTGGAAGAGGTTGAAGGGTGGGAGGTGGTTAGTCTTGTCGTTCACGTCCCGCCTCGAACCATATGGTGGCAGTTGAAATCCAAAGAAGGAAAAGAAGCGTGATGAGTGGACGACTCACTTTAGCTGGGGCCCCTGCACTATAGCCTTTTGCCAGGGGGTGAGTAAAATGTTTCTTTCCGCGTTGGTTTTGTTTCCTCGCTGACCTTTGTCATTGCAGGAATAAGTCTGGTAATTTCTAGTATAGAGCTCATTAAGCTACGGTACATGAGAAGGTACATCAAGGTGTCATTGCGCTCAATCTCTTAACTAGGTAGTCGGGTCACCCAAGAATCCTCTGTTCAGAGGCACAAAGACAGACGACAAACCCCTGGGACATCAAGACAAAAAGCGAAGGTTTCGGGGGATCCAGAAAAATTACAGAAGGCGATCTCAACGACAAGTCGTTCCACGGCGGCTCACGCCGTTGCAATCGAGCCAATTGCCACGCTCCAATTAGTGCCCACACACCGCCCATTTCACGTGTCGAACCACGGTCATGCGTAATAGATTTCTGCTCGGCCCAAACATCAGGCACTTCAGACTCCACCCTCTGTGCCTTTGGTTAAGCTGTTCCTGACTACTGCTCGTTTCTGTTGCTCTGTGCTTCTGTGACACTGACAGGACCCCAGATCTACGAAGGTACCTCGCATCTTCAAGCCTTCGTCAACTTCAGCCGGGCCGAGTAGGGAGGGTTGGCAATTTGGGGGTGAGTGAGCTGATGCGCCCTGATATTGCTCTACCTAAATGGTACACCATATACCTAAATGGTACACCATCATCTCCAAGACCTTAGAACTCAGAGTAGCCGTCACCAGATGTTGGTCGACATGATCCATTGATACTCCGCCGTGCGTGGGTTCCAGAGACTAACGCGGAAAAAGGGGGCGCTGCGTCGCCCCATCTCAATGCAATCCGTCGGTAGCCAATCACGGCTCTGACACACCTGTTCAAGAAGTTGCACCACCAACCCTTCCAAAAAGTTTCAGTCTCACTGCTCTCGATTGGCCGAGTATATCGTAGCATGTGACAGTCTTTCACGTTCAAGTCTTGCGAGAATACCTGGCTTCATGCCTTGCCAATACAGATAAAGCATGGTCTGATATCACGGCTGGCTCAGCCTCGGGTGGCTGCATGTACAATGTATAATACCAGATGCGTTCCGTCTTGCAAACGGAACTCAGCAAACCCCACAGGTGCAGTGTGAGTAAACCACCCAGCTGGTTCAGTCTGCGGAGCCGCAATGTTGAGACAACTCAATGGTTAATGCAGAGGGGAAACTCGGGTCCGAACTGAGAACCTCGGCGCGATTTTCTATGAAAACATAGCCGCGAATCAGATTGATCCGTTAAAGAGCATTTCAAGCAGTTCGGGTCCGAGACGATGGATCCGGGTCACCTAGCTTTGCAGGTTTGTAGAACCTACCAGTCGATGAAGCATCTTCAGAACACTCTCTAGCTCCAGACAAGTGTGACAAGACAGGAACTGGTTTTGAACCGCATACGCCCATTCTCTCGGTATAGCCGCAAAGAACACTCGCACTGATGTTGAAATTACCGAGAGACAACATACTAGTAACCAATGTGTCGAGTATCATCCGGCAGACTCATTAGGAGGGCTAATCAAAGTGATCCCAGTTCGCAAATTGTGAGCAACCATGACTCTCTATTTCTGGTTCTGATGCTTCATAAACTGCTTCGACCACCTTTCGTAGCCATCCAGCATCTGGTGCGTGATACCCTTGGGGACAGACTTGATGGCGTCCACAATATCCTCCATGCAAACCGTGACCTGCTCCGCCTCCCCGTCCAACCTAACGCCGCCGCCGCCACTACCTTCCTCTGTGGCCCCAATGTGCGTCCTGCTCAGCGTCTTGCTCAACGCCGGCTCCGTCGCCACGTTGACAATCTGCTTAATCTCGGCACCCGAGAAACCTTCCGCCAGCCTCGACAGCTCTGCAACATCCACGTCCGCCGCGAGGGGGAGCTTGCGCAGATACAAGTTGAACACGGCCTCCCGCCCCGCGGCGTCCGGTGGGCCAACGTACACGATCCGGTCGAAGCGGCCGGGCCGGAGAAGAGCCGGGTCCATGGCCTCGGGCCGGTTCGTCGCGGCCAGAATAAGCACGCCCGAGAGCGCCTCAAAACCGTCCATCTCGGTCAACAGCGTCGTGAGCATGTTCACCGCACCCTGACTCTTTGCGGCACCACCACCGCCGCCATTGCCGGCGCGCTGGCCGCCGATGGAGTCAATTTCATCAAAGAAGATGATACTCGGGCTCGCGGCGCGCGCACGCTCAAAGAGCTGCCGGACGGCGCGCTCCGACTCGCCCACGTACATGTTGAGCAGCTCCGCGCCCTTGACAGCAAAGAAGTTGAAGCCGGACTCGGTGGCCATGGCCTGCGCCGACAGCGTCTTTGAGCATCCGGGCGGACCGTAGAGGAGGAGACCCTTTGGCGGGGTGAGGATGAGCTTCTGGACCGTCGGGTCGTTTGTCGTGGTGAGGGTGATCATGTTGCGCAGCGCGTTCTTGAGGCTCTCCTGCCCACCGACGTCCTGCCAGTGGATTGTGGGTGGCTTGAGGTTCACATCGTGCATGGCCGTCGGCCTGGTGGAGCGGAGCGCGTGCTCGAGGTCCTCGCGGGAGAGGTACGGGGTGCCTAGTGCCTCCTCATCGTAGCCGGCTTCGTCGGGGTCGAGGCGCTCTGCTGAGATGATCATTGCGTTTTCGATGAGTCTGTCAAGGTCGCTTGCGTTGTAGGCGTGTGTTTGTTGTGACAGCTTGGCCAGCATCACGTCCTTGACCTCTGGCTGGATGGGTATTTCAAAGGACTTGAGAATCTCGAGGCGGCCATCGGCGTTGGGTATAGAGAGGGGGATGTTGCGCTCGAATCTCGTTCTCTTTTGTAACTCGGGAGGTACGTCCGTCATGTAGTCCAGACAGGTGGCGATGACCACGACCTTTGGTAGTGTGCCATTCTTGAGGGCATCCTCGGCCAGCTGGTCGAGCTGCTGGCCTAACCTCTGGGTGATGGCCGTGGAGTTTGCCCGGTCTTTCCCAATCAGAGCTTGGAGGCCATCGATGAGGATGATGCTGGGCTGCATCGTCCGCGCTTGCTTGAAGACCTCCTCAACGGTCGACGACTTATCGTTTTCTTCGATCCGGAAGACTCGACCCCAGCCCGTGCTCGCTACCCGGTTCAGGATGTACGACTTGCCGGTGCCTCGTCCGCCGTGGATGACGATTCCGCATGATTTTTGTTGGCCCTTGTAGACGAACTTTGCATTGAAGCCACGGAGGAAGCTTCGCAGCTTTTTCTCTTCTGCATGTAATCCGGGGATATTCGGGACGACGAGCTTCGTCACGTCGCGAACTTCCTCGACTATCTCTTCTTCCTCACCTGAGACGATCGTGGGTACTGTTGAGACCACATAGCGGGCTACATTATGTGTCTGGCCGTCTACGGATGTGATTCTGAATATTTGTTTTGACCCAGGTGCCACGCACTCAAACTTCATGCCCGGAAAAACTTGCTCAGCCCGCCCTGAAATGTGTCAGCATTCGTCTCACAGCAAGTCTGAAGTGAAGAGAGTCTATCTCAAATCTGAGCATAAGGCGTAAATGTCATACTGCCCATAGAAGCCATAGTAGAATGTCACAGAGAGGCTGACCGCAGCCACCCAGGTTTGATTGAAAGGAGGAAGGTCTCGCAACTCACCAAGATAGAACCGAATCACTCCTACCCAAGCCCCCTCCCATGCTTTAATCTCGGCCTTTTCCCTCTCAGACGTCGTCATAGGCAGAATACTAACCGACTCAGCGTCGGGCACCGCAGAAGTCTCCGTCATTGTGATCGTGATTTGGTCACCCAGCTCGAACCCGCAAGCCTCGCGGTACGCCTCGCTCATGAGAATGATGTTGGGGCTGATATTCTTGTCCGCGAGCGTCCAGAGCGCGGCCTCTCGGCGCAACGGCTCCGTTGTTGTCGTCGTCGTCGCCGCAGACTTGGCCGCATCCTGAGCGGCGGTCCTCGTGACGACGCAGCGCCGGCCGTTGTCGACGCTCCCCGTGAGCTGGATCAGGGAGTCCCGGTTGACATAGATTCTCGAGGCGCCCTTGAGCGTCGACTTTTCGAGCGTCTTGTCGAAAGGCGCCAGGGGGCGGACCTTTCCGTCGATGGTCTTGACCATAGTTTTGTGATCTAGCCGGCGGTGGGGTTGGGTAGTGTCGTGCCCCTGGTTGCCGTTGTCTTGACTTCGTCGAGTCTCTCACTGAGTGCTCAGCCCGCGGGACAATCCAATCGCGGATTGCCTGAGTGTGACCCGAATTTGATGTGAGACCGAAAAACTTCAGATCTAGAAAAGGGAAAACCAAAACCCTCCTGTTCCTGGATCTTTCGTCTCTTGTGGCCTATCGGAGGTATATATGTTGTTCAGACGACGTTTATTCTTCATCCGTCACTGCCCACATGAGTTGACAATGGTGTAGGGCCCAGACCGGGGTATGGCATCGAGAAAACCCTGCGACAAGAAGATCCGGCAACGATGAGATTTTGAGAAGCAACTATGACAGCCACAATGCCGATTAATAGTCAAGCGGGTAATCCGAGAATATTCAAGTCTCTATGAAATCTCCTAGATATTTTGTTGGGTTTTCTCTATTTTCTTGAGTTCGTGGTAGGAAGATATGTTTCCTGTGTGAATCGCCCAAGATTTCGTGTAAGTGAGCCATGAAAAATTCAAAGACCCCTCCCTCCCCTCCACCAGGTCCCGACCCCCGACCAATTTTCCTCATACATCGGCCCCACACCAGCTCAAGTCAATGGTACGTACCTACCCTGCCACGCCTGTTCAACGTCGCATTGCAGCGCGGAAGAAAGTTAGGTCCAGCATCTCAACTTCTTTCTTCACTTATAACAGCCTTCACCACCTCAACCACAGTAGTCTCAGCTACACACACCGACCGAAATACGAGAAGCCTCTCTCTCCCTACATCCTCTATCCCGACCCGACGAAGTCCAAGTCCCTCCGGGCCCATGCAATGGGCTGACCTCCGAGGGCTGCGCAGCTCGACCCTCAGAGTTGCCCGGATGACCACAATCGCAGCCCGACGACGGCTCACGCTGTTACAACAGCTGCCGTTTCCACAGACGCCAGCACCTACACTCCGACGTTTCTTTCGCGCAGACAACGGCCCTGGCAAACGACTCTTCTCGACCCAGCCCCAGCACAGCTCACCCGACGATAAATGGGGCAAGAAGAAACCGTCACGGAGAGAGGAGCCTAAGGCAAAGCCGCCTTCGCTTTTCGAGGAGCTATTCCCCAACGATGACATTTACTCTCATCCGAGTCGTCAGGCCAGCGAACAGGACGATGGAGAAGGCAAGGGCAAGGTCAAGGTCCGGTTCCTGACCTCCACCGACCCGGAAAAGTCCGAGGCGACAGAGTACAGACTAAGGCAACTGGAGCGCAAGAACAAATCCAGCAAGACAGGAGGCGAGGCGGCCGGCAAGATTGCAGACTTTTTCGAGTTGAGCGCGCGTGAAAAGAAGAAAAAGGACAGGGCCGCCGATGGAGAGAGCTCCTCCATCTTCAACGAGCTCTTCTCGTCCCCGGGATCGGGAGAAGCAGAGTCGGCGGCGGAAGCAGTGCTGGGCAAAGGTGGCGTCGAGGCCTTGTTGAGGAAATCTCAGGCCGGCCAGAACTCATCCGAAGAGCGATCTGTAGATCACAACGATCTCCAATCCTGGCTCGACTCTCTTCCGAAAGACGACGCCGCCGCCGACACCGCCTCCTCAGAAGCAGCATCCCCAGAGGAGGCGGCAGCGGCCAAGGCCGAGCACTCCGCCATGCTCATCCTCTCCAACGCCAGCCCGAATCTCATGGAGTCCGACTTCTACCGCATCGGCCCCCAGGGCCAGCACCTCGACGGTTGGAGCGCCTCCATCACCAAGGTCATGCAGGCCTACGACTACAGCACCCTGGCACCCATGGACCGCTACTTCATCCTCTTTGACTCCCACGCCGCGGCAGCAGCGTACCAGCGCGAAGCGCAACGCCTCCACGCCCTCGCCGGCCGCGCCCTCGCGTCCCCCGCCGCCGGCCTGACGCCCGCAGAAACCTCTTCCGCATCCTCCCAAACATCAGTCTTTAGCCTCGCACCCCCCTCCAAGACGCCCCTAAACCTCCACCTCTACAAACTCAACCGCGCTACCGAGGCCCGCCTCGAGACTTTCAGCATCCAAGGCCTCCTCAGCATGACCCCCGAACCGCCCCCGCGCGCAAACGCCCACGTTGTCCTCTCCCTCGACGGCGGCACCCTCGACCAGCGCAGCCTCTCCCACTGGATCCGCCGTGACGCCCGCGACCGCAACCTGGGCTGGCCGGTGCAGCACCTGCGTCCGTACTTTGCGCCCAAGGTGCACCAAAGAACCGCGACGAAGGCGGAAAAGCTTACGGAGACCGGGGAGGGCCTCGTCTACGACGAAGACGATGCGGCTCCGGCGGTGACGGAGGGCGACTCGGGACGGAGAGGCACCACCCCCGACGCGCTGGACGAAACGGCCCCGTCCGGCCGGTTCGTGGTGTCGTTCCCGGACGTGCACGAAGCGAGGCGCTTCGTTCGCGCGTGGCACAAAAAGGAGCTTATCCTGACGAATGATCAGAGCGTAATCGTAAACACGCACGTAGTGTGGTAAATGTCACAAGTAGCAGCGACCGTCGACAAAAAGTGTATAGTAACTCTTTGTAAGATATACCCGGGAGCATGTGTATATCAATAAAGGCCAAACAAGCGTATTTGGAGCACGGGAGAGGGAAAAAACGATGTATTATAAAAACCCAGAAATAAAATCCCGAAACTCCAGACCAGATATTTGCTCTCTAGGGGGGGTTCGATAAAAAGGCGCTGTCGGCAAGAAACCACATGACAAATGCTTCTCCCCGTAGGAAGGGGGGCTTGAGGGCAGGTTGGTGAGCAAGAGAGCGCCCGCGGTGTTTCTCGTCATCGAGCACACACACAACGCACGCCCAGCCGGTCGGGCCCATCACCAAGTTTTTCCCTTTCTCGGCCAATTGCCTCGCCGGAAGCCCCGGTCCTGCCTCTCGCTTGGCCCCTGTCATGTCCTCCTCTCTCTCACCGAGTTTCTCTGCGTGTCCTTTCCGGCGGGCAGACCCGCTGTGAAGCCCCATATGCCAATGTCTCTCTCTCCTTCCATGCGCGTCTTCATGTGCCTCTGTAGGACGTCGCTGTCCCCGGCGGCAGCGCGGAATCGACACAAAGTAATCAAATCTTGCTTTCAGAAAATACACACAACATTGAAATCGAGCGGTCCCGTGCCCAAGCCTCGTTCCGTTACTTTAGCAGCACTTTCCGCCGGCTCCACTTGACTCGCCGACGTTAACGCCCGAGGCAGCGGGTTGCTCGTTCTTCTGATTGTCGATTAGACGCTTCTTGATATCGGCGGCGAGTGAGTAAAAGGCCTTGTCGATGTTGATGTTGCTCTTGGCTGAGACCTCGAGGAAGGGGATGCCGAGCTCGTCGGCGAGCTGCTGACCGCGCTCGGTCGAGACGACACGCTTCTCTTCCCAATCGCATTTGTTGCCGATGAGAATCTTGTTGACGCCCTCGGTGGCATGTTGCTCGACATTGGCGAACCAGGTGCGGATGTCTGCGTGGGAAAAGTACACATTAGTCTTTTGTTCTCATATATCTGTCCTATCATGTACGGTTCCATTTGCAATGGCAACTGCAGTACACGGTTCGAGATAGAACCGCCAGCAATCGTGCAAGTGAGTCCCAATGTAAGCGAAGGGAAACGACGTACTGTTGAAGGAGCGCTCGTCGGTGACATTGTAGACAAGGAGAATGCCCATGGCACCACGGTAGTAGGCGGTGGTGATTGTGCGGAAGCGCTCTTGGCCGGCGGTATCCCAAATCTGGAGCTTGACACGCTTGCCGTCCAACTCGATGGTGCGGATCTTGAAATCAATACCGATGGTCGTGATAAAGGAAGGCGTGAACGAGTCTTCGCTGAAGCGCAACAGGCAGCAGGACTTGCCTACGCCCGAGTCGCCGATCAGCAGAAGCTTGATCTGGGGTGCTGGTCAGCCACATGTGAACACGATGTCATGTTTGCCCTTTATAATGATTCGCACGGCGGAAGGGGAAAGTAGGATGTTCGAAAGGACGAAGTTCGAGGAGATTGAGGGCATCTTGAGCGAAAAGGGCGGAACGATGGTAAGGAGGGGCAGCGGCATTCGACACATACAAGGAAGTCGTAGTTGCGGTTGCTCGACATTTTGGCGGCGGATGTTGATGGGGGACTAAACCGAGGGGGCCGATCTGAAGGGGGCGGTATTGCTGCTCCGGGCGACGTACGTGCCAGACGAGTTGAGATCGGGAGGATGCGAATGAGAGGGTGATTGTCGTGATCTTGTCGTCGGATTCGGGCAGCGGTTGGGGGGAGAGGCGATTGAGATGTTGGTAGGAGATGGGCCTAGGTAGTTTGTCGTAGTTAGGTAGGCGGTAATAGTAGTAGTATGTACGAATAGTGAAGGTAGGCACGTAAAGTGCTGGGCTGCGGACGAGGCGAGGCGCTGCAATGTACAGTCCAGCACACTGTGAAGAGGCACGTATCCCCGTACGTAGGTAGCGTCGAATCGCTTGGTCTCTTTAGGGGTGTCAAGTGTGGCGCCTGCCGTCTGGGGTAAGATACTGGACCCGGCCCTCTTGCTTGGCCGATCCGACTTGACCTGTGCTTATGCTGGGACAGGGCTTGAGGGATTTGGTGACTTGGCGGTGGGCTTTGCAGGCTACTTGAGGTAACAGCGGTCTTGGGCTGGAAAGCCGGTACCTGCTGCAATGCGAATCCCGCTGCGAAAAATTGTTCTAATCAAGCCCGCTGTTGATATCCGGAGTGGCACAAATCAACTGCTTCCGGCACTAGGCAAGGTAGGCCTCGGTGAAATCAGATAGCTAAGGTAGTCACGACTCACGGTGTCTACTAAGCTGCCCAAGGCACAGTGCCCGCCAAAGAGAAAAGACGCGACGACGTCGGATCTGCGTCGGAGGGGAGCGAAAGGTTAAAAGAAGCAAAACTTCCCTGGTCGATCCAGGCACCCTGTTGCAGAACACCAAGTGAAATTTTGGGGAACAAATACACGGGCGGCACCTCAGCGTAATTCTATGATGGCAACCATCCGTGGACGGTCCTGGCTGGGTATTACCAAGCTCGCTCACCAAAGAAGCGATATGCCAACAACACCTCAGCCACCAGGTAACAAAATGTCCGCCAACCTAGTCGTTATCTCAAAACTTGATGCGTTGTCTCTGCCGTGGCACTACACTCCTTTTGCTGCCAAATGTGCTCGGTCTCCCGCCTTTGCCAGACTTGTCAAGACTCAGGAGGCTACCCACGAAGCCACACCAAACGTCATCGCACTGTCTCGCCTCAGGGTCCAGGTCCAAATCCATCCAGAACTGAGTCACGCGTCCGCCGCCCGAGCATCCTGGGTGGCGGTCGTTCCATGGTCACAAGAGACATTGTTGAGCCTCCCTCACGTTCACTCGCTGGCCAGTACGTCACCCGTTCAATTGCACTTCAATTCGACTTTTGGTCTAAACACCTTTCCTAGTGACAAATGCCGCCTGCTAAGCTCCGGTACCAATGTGCGATGCTCCGTTGACAATTCATGAATGCCTCCAGTGGTGTACAAATGTGGTACAGGTTCCACCGAAAAAGGCCGTTCCCGCTGTGCGTAGTAAAGTAACCTGAATGCTGAAGCTCAAATCCGTAAGACCGTGTATCCATGCGAATCATTATTGCGCCCGAGGTTCTCCGTCCTGCGTTGTTTTACTGTAGCCACCTGGCGTACGCCCAGCGAATGCGATCCAAAGCTCTAACTTGCACCTGAATCCCCTTCAGGTTGGCAAGATCATCCAAATCCTCGAGGAACTCACGCTGCCTGTCGCGAGGTAGCACTCTCTGCATCAAGTTGCGCAGCACGTGGACTTCGCACAACAGGAGGCCGTGATCCTTGTAGGAGAGGAGGTTGTTCTGAGACGGCGTCGCCTCTGAAAAGATCCGGTCAATGTTGCGTAGCACTCTGATGCTCTGTCCAGTCTTGCGGCTTTGCCGGGCTCCCTTGCGAGCACCAAAGATGCCGCGAAGATACTGAACAATGCCAATAGAGACAAGCACACCAGGCGTCAGACCTACAAACCCAAACACCAGTTCCTGGCTCTTGAGGAGAGAGTCGATGCCGCTGATGGCCACCTCCAGGTCGACCTTGGTCTTCTGCACTTGGATGAGCAGTGATCGGACGAGGTCGCCCTTCACCGCACCGACAAAGGGGGTCCGCAGATCCTTTTCGTACGCACGCAAAACCGGGGTGACATCCCCCTCGCTGACCTTGGTTCGGATAATCTCGATCTGGGCGTCGGTAAGGGAGGACCCGTCACCTGCAAAATGGGGCTTGTCCAAAGCAAAGTCCACAACCATGCGCTCCAAGCTTTCCCGATCGGCCTTCAGGCTGTCTCGGCTCATGATGGCGATCTCGCTGCTCGAGTCGTGTCGAATAGTTCCAACAATCTTGCGTGTCGGTTCGATAACCCAGTTGAACCAAAAGTCTCGTACCGTAGATCCAATGTCCCGAATCCAGCTGATTATTTCTGCGCGTCTATTGGCAAGAAGTCGAAGGACAGTCGTCGAAGAAAGCAGTGCTGCTGTTGCAGGCAACCAGTATCGGATGAATCTCGACGGGCGGCCGTTCTCTTGAACAAGCAGCTGCGCAGACAAGACGTGGTTGGGGAGGCCGTTATCCAGAAGATTGAGAAGACGTCTAGCGAGCACAGAGGGCTTCTCCAGAGCGTTGGCGTCCTCGATGTGAATGCTAAGCTCGGGGTCTTCCTCGACTCCAGCGAACACCTTGTCCTCGAAATCGTTGACGCCAGACTCAAGAGTCAAAGCCTCCTTGAGAACCATGTCCATGAGAGCCACGCTTCGCTCAACCACGCCTTTCCAATCATGGCTGTTGACGCCGGCTTCGCTCTTATCGTCGTCTTCGTCGCCTCCAAAAGTCAAACCTTCGTCGACGAGCACACCAAGACCGCTTGCAATCATATCCCGCAGGCGCCTGAGATGTGCCAGTTTCCTCCGAGCCTCGCCTCGGCTAAGGGCCACAGGCGATAGGACCTTGCGCTGAAGGGTCGTGATCGATGAGTCCCGAATGCTGTCCCGTACGATGCCGTAAAACTGTTTCCATTGTTGCGATAAGCCTGTACGAGTGGATGCGACAATATCGCCTGGCGTTTGGCTGAGATTCCGAATTCGGTGCTTGCTTTCGTGATAAACATCCTTGGTCAAGGCCCACAAACGCAACGGTGACGTTTGGACAGTGTAGAGACTGCTGTAAGTATACGAGCTCAACACTTCGTCCCAGTACCACATCTCATCACTGAGAGGAATAATCTGATCCAGAAGTGTGTTCAAAATGATACCGTAAGTCTGAACGGTAGCCTTGCTGACGAGCAGCCACTCGATCTCCGACTGGTACGGGCCTCGTCTAGCCTCGTCATCCTGCTCCGCTTGGAAGTCCCATTCCGCAAGTTTGGATTCTTGCAGCAGAGAACGAATCCTCTGAGCGGGGAGTAGAGATGACGAAGTTGAGGTGGTGGACAGAGCCCTAACAATATGTA